TCCATCTACATTGGACAAGCTATCATCTGGACGAAGACGACAAAACACGCGAATATTTCCAGTTAATTCCTGAATTCGATTGTGCATACGCTTACGTCGCACTTCTTCCTCACGTAATACACGCTCCAAATTGGAAATTTCTGCATAAATTTCTGTCCGACGATGCAAATAGTCTGGCTTGTTCCGTTCAGGACTGGCTTGCTTATTCTTCTCTTCCTTAATTTTGTAATCCTTTTCTCTGAGGTTACCAGAACGACAAACAGTATGCGGAGACATTTCGTACTCGACTAATGGACTAGTGATATCATTGGACAATCCGTCTCGAATAGAAGCCGGTCGATCTAGCAGGGGAGAACGAATGGATAATTGTTTCTGAATCGCGCACAGATTGGATGCCAAGGATTCCAATAACTCCCGTTGTCTAGATACATGTAGTCGCAACTTAGCGCGTTGTTCTCTGGCTTGACTTAGGACGTAAATGAGACGATCGTAAACAGCCAGTCGCCGATCCAGATCGCAACGCAAAATACGACCTTGGGCCATAACATCACTCAAAAAAGCGACTGAAATTTGAAACAAACAAGGCCAATCAAACGGCCGTTGTACACGCTTGCCGTCTACGTTGGCTCTCTTCAGCAACACTTGTGTAACTCGCTCAGATAGATGTCCAGCTGGATCGGCTCCAACAGTAGCCAAATTTTGAATTGCATTAATGTGTGACGGCCAAACGTTGGACAGATATTTTGCGGTAGAACGAAGTGCACCGGACGGGAGTACAGGAGGTGTAGAGACAAAGGTGAACAAACCTTCCTTTGATACGTAATGTAATAATTGATAATCCTTGTAGACAAAATCTACTGCGTTTAGTAGAGCATAGTATCGCCGTTTCCACAACTGATTTCTCAACAAACGGGTAGGCGAAACCGTAGCAGCGGCTGTTGAAGATTGTTTCACGCTTTGGAATACCACGTGATCTTCACTGTTTACAACCATCTGTTTAACCTTTTGTGCACGTTTTTTCAGTACTTCATCCACGAATATATTTGGTTCTATAAGGATCTTAGTATTAGGTTCATCCGTGAAGGTACCCTCCTTTTGCCACTTAGCATACAAATGTATAAATTGATAAGACCATCGCATCAGGTTAGGATAGTTGATTCGATACTTGAATACACTGACTGTGTCCATAGTCAGATGGTTGGTAGAATGAGAACTTGGGCCGTATCGGAAAGGAATCGGTGCTGGCCATTCACCACGATAACCTTCGTCCATGGGATCACTAATTCCCGTTTTTGCCAGCCGATCATGGGTTTGTGCTCGGGGAGGGCGACAGGACCTTGCCTTGGAAGAAAGACCGCGCCGATTGCGCTCATCACTACAAGACTCACTACGCCTCGAAACTTCCAAATGTCTGGAAGAGCTAAACTCAGTTTGACGCTGTGAATAAACCCTTTTAGATATTTCGATCGGACTGTCAACTGCGGCAGATTCACCTTGTTCGCGTGCCAAAATCAGACTGGAACATGTACGACTGCTCTCACTCAATTCGCCAGCTGCTTCTTCTTCTTCAATCATTGGTTCAGTTTCAGTATGAGTGCCATCGGTATCGCCTTGACTGCCAGCGGACGACGACATGGATTCAGACAGATAGCAACAACAATCCGGGCCGTGTTCACATCCTTCTTGTTTACGAGTTTTAGCCAATTTGTCTGGTTCAGATGAATCTGTTACTCCTTCATTCTGTAATTGTGGTTCAGATTCCCGTTCACGATTTGAAGGCGTGACACAATACAGCACTCGACCGAACCTTTTGGAGCGCAGTCCGAGAGTGGGAGATGGTGGCACGCTGTGGCTACACTCCTCTGGCTTATCCATGACTCGATTACATAGCAACTCCTGTTGTTCGTCTACCCACAGCTCCGTACCTTCGAAAGGAAATCGAAGAACATTGGAACAGGTTCCGGAATTCGAAATAACATATGAATCCCCACAACTGGAATTGAGCTGAGCGCTTACTGTATTGTTCGGGCTTGAAAATGATTTGACTAAGTGCGATGACATGCTCGTTTGGTATGATTAAGTACGAGCTCCATGATTAATTAAACTCCCTGAGTAGGATATAGCAAGGCCTCTGTGTGGCCGGACAAGCGAGGATGACGGTACAACTTGCAGTTGAACTGTCGATCGATGAACTGCGTCCATTAAACTTGAATCACGTGACAAGGTTGGATGTCACACGATAGGTGTATGATGGAGTCACTTTGTAAACTGAATATGCTTACCTTTCAGTTAAAAATTGTGCACTTGTCGTCGCACGGGAGAAAATTTAGAAATATAGACAAGTCCAATAGAATGATGTGTAAAAATGTATCCGCGATTTGATTAATCCAAGTAAAGATTGACGTAGTTCATTTATAACTTGTTCCTTGTTAGTCAAGAGCCAGATATGGTACAGGGCAGTTCTTATATATGTTTATTTCGGAGGATGAATACTGATAAGGGGAACGATAAGTCTAGATACAAAGGATGCAAGGGTTCGTTTAGAATCTTATTGGCAAAGGTCACACAAGACTTCATATGACCATTTATAAGTTCTGTGATTAATGACTCAGCAGAAATTAAAGATGCACGACGGATTGTTTTTAAAATCTTGTTTCAATAGACAGGGAAACACTACAGGGGAGCAATAATAGAAAGAATGCACTGATTAAACAAGGAGAACAAAACTTGTTTGGGAGTTCGAAATTGTTTGAGCTTCCAAAGCTGAAAGGTGAGGCATCGAAGTTTCCCCATAATTCAATGTTCAGAACAGGATTTCAGTTTAATTACCATTGCAAATCACATGCCCGTCTTACAACTGTACGTTGCTATAACGATCAGCAGATATCAAAGAAGGACTCGTGGTTAATAAACTCAGTCCTCCGTGTCCCTTACACCACATGAATGCTGCAAATAAAGTTCTATAATATGACCATAAAATGGTAATTCCTAAAAATTAACTCCTAATTTTCATGAGGAACTAAAGAAGTAATTGGTAACTCTTTCATTGCCTCTTTAGCGCTCTCAGACTAATGTACACCAATCCACGGATTAAACTGCTGAGGGTTCCCGTAAAAGTTTGCCGAATGAAAATTTGTATTCATGTTTGGAATTTCATAAAAGAAAATCCACCAGAATTTAGTTAAATTCAAGCCTGTTTTGATTAATTATAAATAGTTTACACTCAGTAAAATCGATACAGAGGGGCATCATTGCAAAGGAAAGACGGAAAAAGCGTAAATCATGAGACGTTTCGAAAATGACGACTCCAGTTACAGAATAAATTGGGGAATATTTATTGGATGACCTTATCTACTTTCAGTTAGGTTTTTGAAACAAAATAAGCGCTATAAACAACCAAAGCGGAATCTTTCATGTTAAAATACAAAATCCAAGAACTTACTTCTCACTCTGTCAACCTATTTCCAGGTGTCCTGAGTGTTGTGAATTCCATTTTTCTGGGACCTGTTTTAAAATTAATCAGATGTCACTAAATATATTTCTGCACCCTATAAACTTGACTGTCTAGTCTAAAGTCAGCGCGATATGACCTAGAGGATAGTCGGCCCTACTGACACCTGACTGACTGATACACCCACAGGTCTTGGCTCCTCGATTTGCTTCTAACTTCACCACATCCATCGACTCTATTATTTAACTCTTCTATCGAAGTCTCTACCTATCACAACCAATAAGGTATCAAACTCTTCGTGGTTTAGATGCTTGTAAACCGCCTGGCCCGACGAGATTCCACCCACCGTTCCAAAAGTGTGTGCCTCATATTTAGCCCCTGTTCTAAACAGCTTTTTCCATTTTTCAGCTGGTCTCAAATCTTCACTCATTCCATGGATCAATGCCACTTTTTCCTACCCCAGAGCAGGGTAACCCTTCCAATCCCAAACCCTAAAAATTCGAATTTTTTTGAAATTATTATCTCTGAAGAACTACTTGCGTTTCTCGAACGTGAAGTCTTTGCTAACTTACCATGAATACAATTTTTTCCCTCGTCATTCCATGGGCAACCTACTGGTTTTCGTCTAGCATTCCTGATCAACCGCATTGGATAACCAAGGTGAAACTCGCTCGACACTTCAAAGGATTTGGGCCGTGTTTGATCCAAAAGTCTGGTGACCGAAATTAACCATGTCTGGATTCCACCCGGCTTTGGTCCCGTGGCTGTAATGTTTCCTCAGCAGGCAAACCACCTTCATTAAGTTAATGGGATCCGATCTCGGACGTTTCGTGTGATTGCTACTGTTCTCCAAGATCGCTTACTTGCGTCTACCTTCTTCCTTCCACTAAGTAACTAACGTTTCCTCAAAACCTTCAATTGCTTTTCATTGTTCGATCGATGATATCACTCTCCACTGTTCTCTTTTTTACCTCACGACCCGATAGGGTGCTAGAAACATCGGTCCAGATCAGTGTCATTAGTGCATCTTTCGTCTCCGATCTGGGGTTCATGTCCGTATGAGTTTCTTTCACCCACGTGTGTTTCATTGTCTCAACCCCTCCCCTGCCAATCTCCCTTATCCTTCCCCAACTGATATTAAATTCGCTTCCTTTTTGTTCAATAAGTCCTTCTGTATGCTTATCTCCTGTTATTTCCACACTTGCTTTCCACGCCGCGAGAGGGATGGTTCCCTGTTCCGAGCCAGGCGCTTCCTTACACTCATATTTCAGTTATGTATGGCCTGACGATTCGGCTCTTTCTCCTCCAGCCCTCGTTCAATCTTGTATCATCCAACCGAGCAATAAACCGTGTGTTAACTCCGAATCTGCAATCTCTTTCCATAAACCGGGCCCTTGCTCCGTTTTCGCGTTTTTTTGTCATTATTCCTTCGGTTCGTGTTCTTTTGAGCTCACCTCAGCCGTTCACGTCTATCTCCTATTCGGGAGGGCTGTCAAACTCACCAGGTTTCTGTCTCCAGATATCGGACTTCTATTTTCCAGTTCTGTTTTTTTTCCAGGACTGCGAAATGGTACAACACCCTCACAATTGTTCTCATTTCAAACCACCTAAAATATTTTTGCTTGTGTTTTCAAAAGCAGGATCAACGAATTGATTCTCATCCGAATGTTTCACCAAATACCTTCCCTCTTACAGTATATATCAGTGACTGTGCAGTTCACCCCTTCTATTGCGAATCAATGTGTAATAGAAGGGGAAAAAACAACTATCAAGTGATTTAATCATGATTATCCAATGAGAATAACTGTTTAGCGATGCAACGAATTACGAAATTGAAATTCCTGAGAAGGTCATTACCTAGGCGACAATAAAGCAGAACAACAGTGATGAGTACAGAGAGAAGACAGTATTTTCCCCTCGAGAATTCTCGCGCTATGCTCAAGAAAATAAGAGATGAAAGATCAAACGGAAGTGTACCAAAATCTCTTGCCTGTGCAACTATTTAAACCGTACCGGAGGGGGACTTCTCTTAAAACAAGAGTGAAAACATGCCTAGAGAAGTAACAATAGAGTAGTGATAATCATGATAGAATTTATACTGTGCGAAAGGTGAAGAGAACGGTAGCTAAGGCTCCGGAGAAACACGGGACAGACATTACATACACATGGTACTCAAGCATATGGTGGTGGTCGTGTTGATGCACCGGCTAAGTCTCTGTCGTAGGTGTGCTTTGGACGCCATGACCCGAGGTTCAAAACCCACCACCGCCACCCAACCTCTGGTGGTAGACAGCTTCATCCGACTCAATACCATACCTAACCAACCCGAGCCTTAAGTGGATTGCTAATCCAAGTCCAGGGGCTCAAGTTATCCGTTTCCATCACTGAAGAGCACGTCTACACGACGTGGGATCCCACCCTGCTCGCTGTTCACCACAGAAAAATAAGAAGCTGTCAGTTTACTGGATTCGCTAAGTGTCCTCGCGGATCTCAGTTGTTAAAACCACGTATTCTGTCAACCGAAATTCCTATTTCAAGTTGTTATTATTATTTTTTATTATTTATTTTTATTATTTCATACGTGCCCGAGTAGGGACTGTGCAAAAAACTCACTATATCATTCAGTTTCAGTTTGTACAACTAATAACCATACACTCTCGTGCGCCGATTTTAGTTTGTCTTTTGGCTGCCTATTTTGATGATGCAGTAGAAAGACGGCAAGAATAAAAGCAGAGTCGAAGAGAAAATTTGGAAATCCGGTAAGCCATGGCTACAAAGAAATCGAGGTGCGCGAACGCCACAATTCACGACTCCCAGCCCATCAATGTCTATAAACATCGGTTACGATCATCTCCAGGTCCCCAGCCGGGACCTGCGTAACCCAGACTCCTGGTTAGGGTTTTCATACCCTCATGATAGGTCTTCGTTTGACTACCCTTGGCTTTATTCCACCCACTATCTGCCTCGGCAAACCTCGCTCGCCGTGGCAACCTATCTGCTGACATGCGTAACAAATGCCCCAATCAACATAATCTATGGAGGTCGACCACTTGCTCCAGTGGGCGACAGCGGTTGCCTAAAACTCAACGCCTAAGATCGGCCCTTCGGTATTTCTCAGAGTCTCAGAGTTTTTCAACCGATATGATTTGAATCTTAACATATTTAAATGCTTACAGTGTATTTCCAGTCTCTTCCACTCTGCGTTTCCTATGGATCCTGATTAGCCTTGACTGCAAACTTATCTAGAGTGACTTGTGTCAAGTACCTAGGCGACACCATATAGACGGTCATTTCGGGTGGTCCACACATTTACCACTGTATAGGAAAACTGATAAGTCTCTACCTTAAGCAGCGGAAAATCATGTAATGCCGAACCCCCCTGTCAATGTTGTCATCTCTCGTCCAGCAACCCGTTTTTCAAATTTTATTCCGTTGCTCCCTTGTAGAGTTTCCCGTCCTCCTTAGACGTCCGTCGTGATTCATTGATCATCTGTCGTGCATCCCTGATTTCATTAATTACAGAACGGACTAATGGTCATATCAACTCTTGCACTAACTTTGTCAATAGGATTCTAGTGGACACTCTGCGTCCATTGCACTGTAGTTTGAATCCTTGCAGTTCCCCTCGGTTCACAAGCTCCTTCTTCCGGCATATAACTTTTCATCTTACCACTTATAGGAACTCTCCTGAATCGTATCTGGCAGGACTCCACTACCGTCACCACCACCACCAAGGAATGGGTTGTTAATGAATGGCATCAGAATTCCTGTGCATAAATCAGACTTTGGAAACCCCTTGCACTAAGCATGTTTTCTGAATGTTTGTTTTTTATTCGGCCAGTGGACATTTAACTGAAATGCTGGCTTTCAGTACTTTATCTACTGGCCAATTACAGCACATGGTATAACTAAGGGAAATAACACGGTGAGACAGTCAGATCAGCATATATTATTACAGAAGTTGTAACAACACAAACATAAATCGACCCATTCATCTAAATGGCTATTTATTCGACCAAATCACTGATGTGCTTTCGTCAGTTTCCTAGACCGGTATATATATATATATATATATTTCACACACGTTTGAATCCAGACTGTGTACCAAACAAAGCATGGTACAATAATCCTTACGAAAAAAGAAAAACGATTTATGATTGGCTTGTGGGCTGAATACTGCCAGGTTACCCAGGCCAAGGCAGGTGAATATTCTTGAGGAATCCACAACCGGAGCCTTTGAATAGCCAAAGCCTACCTGCAAAGCAGCAGGGCGGTGTTCAAAAACCACAATCTATTGGAAGCTGATGTCCAGTTCATCAGAACATACGCCTTTTGGACGGGGTCAAACGTCCAAGGTACCCAATACACCTGCATGACCAATCGGGCCGGTGATCACTGCCATAACCAGGAAGTTGTCTGTGTGGTTCGTACGCCTCCTTTTGGTTGGTTTGGAATCAGGGATTTTGGTCAACTCCCCTAGGCGAACTACCAGTGGTTAGAACTCTGAATATCGGCATTTTGTCCTCTCACTTTGGTGGGGAAAAACACCTCCGCAACGAGGAGACAGTGAGTAGGGCTTCCTCAGCAGAGACTTTTTGAGACACTTCGTCGTATGGGAGCATTTCGCGAGATACAAGGGAAGGGTGACCAGACGCAACCCTAGACACCCACCCCGGACCAGGCTTCCAGACCAAGCTGCTGTAGTTCAAACCCGGTAATTCCGTATTACTAACTCAGGTAATGGTGTTAGTTTGGACCCTTCAGTTGTTATTTCATAATTCTATTAATGTCAGCGCTAGAAAATTTGTCTGTTGTCAGCGTTGCTCATGCAGGTCAAACGATAACTAGAGGAAACAAAGAAAACCCAGTGTACTTTGGATAAAATGAATATAGAAATGTACAAATATAAAGACATTCGTGAGACTTCTTCAGTGAAAATATCAGCAAGATCACAATTCATTTGGATCGTGCGACTGTACGTGGCGGGTTGCATTTTTATGCATGTCTATTATTTGATCAATTAGATGAAGCATGTCCGAAGCCAGCTCGCCTAATTCATTCCATTCTTCGTCGGTATTTTGTGTATTCGTCAATGAAGCATCATCGGACTCCTCGGCCGCCGATTCAGTTCGCTTGGACGAACTGGACAAAGCTTCTATGTACTCCTTCTCCATTTGTACCAGATCGGCTAAAACATCTGTCTTATCAGAAGCATCCTGAACAACCAAATTGAGCTCACACATTGGATGCAAATACAGCAGACAGTTGAGTAGTTTCTCTCGACGGTCGTGATTAACCTGAGGCGAAAGCGGATTGGCTCTAAAGTGCATGTCCGTACGAAGGGCGTGCCGGAGACGTTTACACCATCCGGAACTGACCAGAGCCGATTCAAAGGGAAAGCTAAGGACGAAAGATGAAAGAAAATTGTGGGGGAAACGAAATGGGTAGATGACCAAATAGGTTGAAATAAACAGCTGGGTTTTGATGAAAATTGGGGCACTGATGTTATCGAATCGAAAATGTTTTTTTCGTGTTAAGTTCATCAAGTAGCGGCACGACGCGATCTCCTGGCAGCTGTTTATATGGGGTATTTGTAGTGATTGATGTAATCATGAAGCACTAGCATGACCGAGCTTTTTGTATTATACACATTTTTGTGGTGAACAGCAGACGGGTGAAACCCTATAATCAAGATGACTTGCTGTTCAGTGGTAGAAACCGGTAACCTAAGCCCCGGGACTTGGAGTGGCGAACCACATAAGGTCCCGATAGGTTACGCTTGATGGTAGCTTTGGTCAATGACACGATAGTCGAGAATTTCATCAATCACAAGGACATATGGGCTGAAATTAGAGCGATTGGCAACATAAGCTCGTGGGTGTCCGTAAATAGTTCCTTTCGCACTGCGGTCACATCCGTTGCACAATGGCAACGGCTATATACGATTGTGACAATGACAACATTTATACTACCAAACTATCTTGATTTCACCGTGGTGCTCACTTTCGTCGCGTAAGTGAGGATACTTACTATTATTACTGCCTTACAAACCATGATTCGTGGATAATGCAATTCGCCTGCCATGACCCTGCTTTCACAACCTCAAAAAAACTCCGAGAGGAATGGAAATCCGATGCAAAACCAGATGAAGTCATTCCATGCCAAACTCTGGTGCCATGCCCAAGTTCGGATTGTTACGTTAACACTGCTGTGGCTGCAGTTTGCACCACGGATATCGCTTGTCCTGCACATAGTCATTTTCACAACGCTTGTGATCAGCTGATTAGTGGAGTGGTATTTGAAACTCAACTATCAGACATACAGTGTATATATGGTACAAAACTATTAAATGCTTGGAATCATTAGAACGTCATCCATCGGCAACTGACATTAGGACCGCTAACTTTAACAAAAAGGCACATACCTGGAATAAAGTGCCCATGACTTTTGACCAACCTTGTCGNCATCGGAACGCTGTCGGACAGAAGACTGAATTAGGGTAGAACAGAATGAAAAGCAATTTACGTTTTTGGATGAGTGCAGTCAAACCCGTATTCGTGTTTGGAACGCGAGCAGGTAAACAGGGGAAGAACTTACGGTCCGCGCCGATTCCGAATGAGATGTCAAGTTCTCATGATAAATTGCACACCAACAGAAAATGGGACATTAGGGATTATTGGAACCCGTGGAATAAGCTTATTTCTCTTCACAAACACGAAAATTAGAAGTATCAATCAGGACCCGATAACCCTATTATCAAGATGCAATGAATGCGCTTGAAATCACAGACAACATCATTTCAACTTCACGTTAGTACTATTTAATGCGTTGAGTTGTTTGCCAAACACCAAACTCATAAATCCTTCGGATACGGGGCAAATCACTAGGAACTTGAGGAGTGACCGCGAGAAGCGATGGGTTGCAAAATATAAGGTGGAGGAAACCACAGCTATTAGTATGGGGTCACAACAATTGTCGTCTGATTAGATGCACCAGTCAACGGGAACCATCCGTATAAGATGTGATTAGGGAGAATTGGGGTACAGCAACACCCCCTGGAAAGGTGTAGAATGTTTGACCGTGCAGGGTAACTGGCTTTCCGCAACATAAGACTCGTCAAATTCGACATTAAGTGTAAAGCAACCACCACTGGGGACTAATCCTCCGTCTGAAGTAGCGCCTTCAAGGAAGATAAGTGACTTGAAACGACATATGGTACCTANAAGAGGAATGCTTTGCATTCATTTTTAAGGATAAAAGGACCAACCTTGATTTTGGAGATGACAACACCTCTAGGTTCCACTATATTTCTATCTTGTTTTGCTTCTGTTTTTCTTTCAACCCATGGTTATTTTGGCAGGTTTCGAAACTTGACAACCGAGTTATAAGCCTGGAGGCCAGCGCAGGGATGAGGTGCGAGGCCCGCGATAAACTCGAAAAGATGAGTCGTGCTATATCGTGTACATTTACAGTGAGAAACAGTCTGATTAACCGTCTGGGGGCTGAGTGAACAGTATACGTGCGTCCTACCAGAGTTCCCGGGTTTGATCCCCAGTTGGGTTGATGTGTTCGCACCATTGATAAGACCCAATCAGGTCGCAACAGTTATACAGTGTTTCCCAGCTTTACAACTCACGCTTCATTTGCATGGCAAATTTATCGCATTCAATATACATAAACACTATATGTGATCAAGCCCACCACGAGACTGCACCCTGGCGTGGTGTGATGGCCTGCGAGCCTCAATGATCCTGCGAGCTATACAGGATGGCTCCTCACAGCCGCAGATCCAATCATGCCTAAAAGATCAAAGAGTAGAGGTCAGACGAAGATCAGTCTCACCAGGCTAGCTGCCTGGGCACCTGCTGGCTTCCTTTTCTATCCACATCCACCCCTGGAGAAGAACATCCAGTAAAAAAGAACAGTGAGGGGCAGTTTACCGGTCAAAAAAAAACGCTAGATGGACGTAGGAGCGGCGTACCTGCGGCTTCCTCTCGACGGTGGGAGAGGTCTTCGTACTTCATTGGACAGCTACCGCCCGCCCAAGCTCGGCAGCCCCCAGCCAATAAGGTGCTGTCCCGTTCACGTTCCGCTTGTCTCATTGGGTGCATGAGGCTAAGGGCCGATCCTGAAAAGTGGACCGAAGATGAACGCACCAGCGAACAACACAATTAACCAAAATTCAAAGGCCTTGTGTGACAGGTCTCTAGAAGCTCCCACACAGGTGCTTCGTTCACGCTCCCGCATCGGATTGACGCCCCATTGTCTTGTGGGTCAGGCTTTTGAGTCGAAGGCTCCCGTTGGGGTTCCCAAAGAAAAACCCCTTCGTCGGTGTGGGCTTACTTATCTCACTCCCAAACCTTGAGAGATGCATCCTATTTGTGCCACCCTTTGGATATCACTCAGTGTTCAACTAATGAGGCAAAACACTCCGAGGCCATCAGATTTTTGAAACCAAAATCTCCTTTCCACTTAGCAACATTTAATGTCCGCACACTCTACCAGATCGGTCAACAATCTGCCTCAGCTAGAACCCTTGAAACTTTCAACTTAGATGAATGCTGTCTCCGAAACACGCATACAAGACCTTACTTCCATCATCTTGCGTTCTCCAGATCCAACCTCATCCTCACACTTCACTCTCCTAGAGTCCGGCGATTCGGCAGCCGAAGCTCGAGGTGTTTCTGGAGTTGGGATTGCGCTAAGTGTCAAGGCCGAGCGTTCACTTCTCGAATGGATCCCGGTTAACAGCCGACGTTACGCCGTACGTCTGGATGGCTCCGTACGGGGCAACAGCTATAAGACGAAGCGTCAATGCTTATTCGTCATATCCGCGTATGCATCGACAGATTGCAGTACACCAGAAATAAAGGATGAATTCTACATGGACCTCTCTCAACTGCTTCGAAGTGCTCGGTCAACTGACATCGCGGTGGTCGCTGGAGACTTCAATGCTCAAGTGGGATCCATGTACGAATCAGAGGCTACTTGGTGATTCACGTNTCACGTGCAGTCCCAGCCGAAAGAACTGACAACGGAGAACGCCTACTCCAACTCACGGACTGTTTCTGTCAAGCACGAACTTCTCGTACAAAAAACGGCACCGCCTTACATGGAAACCGCCAACTTCTCTACAGCACCGGACTCAAATCGACCACATCGCCATCAGCCACCGCTGGCGAGGATCCATT